CCCCAAAACCCCAAAACCCCAAAACCCCAAAACCCCTTTATAATTTATCAGATTGGTCAAATATGAATATTACAAACGTCATTTTTAATTAGTGTTTACAGAATCATCTTCCTTAGTCACAATCTGAACCCTGATGCTGGTTTTTCAAAGAGGACATATAAAATCTCCTAGTCTCTGTCTATAGATATTTTTAAAGATTATCCTCTGAACGATAATAAAGAACTTAATTTTGCCATAAAAATAATAATTTGGTGATCTATTAGCTTACTTGATCTTGAAATATTCTTCCAAGCATTCAGAATGGAAAATATGGCCACAGGCATTAATCATTCAAATTTTACGATCAGCTACAAATGAATCAAGACATATAACTCATTCTGTTTGGTCATATCTAGATTCTCTATCTTCTCTCTGAATTTCAGTGGTGTATTTTCTTAAATACTTCTTGTACCACTTAGCTCCATATCACTTTTTCTTCTTATTGATCACCTTAATAACCACATAATAAAGAACAAGGATCAAAAATAAGACAGCAACCACTACAACCCCAATCAAGAAGATCTTCAAACTCTTCATCATACCATTCCCTGACTTCTCTCCTCCAGTAGGGCTCTTAAGACTCCTCCTTCCACCCTCCTGCTCGTCCTTACCTCACTCAACCACTACACTATACCCATACCTCTCAAACTCTGCTTCCAATCTTTCTTCTATCTGTCCAAGTCCATCCTCTTCTTCACCTAAAAATCCATCAAAATCTACTTTGCAGCCCCAAGACCCCTTTCCCTATTCTCTATTTCCCACCCTCAGCTGTCTCCCTTAACTTTCTCTAAGAAAATTTCAAAATTCTAAAATTCCAAAACAACTTAAATCTCCGCTACCCCAAAATTCCTAAACCTGGTCAAACTCACTCTGCCTTCTTCAGCGGCTGGTCGCTGAAGAAGGCGGTGTGATCAAGATTTGTCTTACCTTTGTGTGCAGAGGAGTGTGGACTTGCTGGTGAGCAGGCTCAGGTTCAAGATATTTGGGGAGAGGTGAGAGTGAAGTTGAAGCACTGCGGTTTTGAAGTGGGCTGAAGGGTGGCTGTGGGTGGTGAGAGGTGAGCTTACTGGGAAGAGAGGGGGCTTGGAGGGTGAAGTTGAGCCCTGAAGAGAGGGAGATGGGGTCTGGGAGGGATGGGAAGGGGATAGGGGTGGTTTTGGAGGTGGGGTTTGGGGGAGGGTTTTTGGTGGCTTTTTGAAGATTCTATTGTGTTAGAAATATGATTGAATTTTTGAAATTTGGAAGATCCAGTAGTCAGTATAATAGTTCTTACCTGTATTTCCTCTGCCTTGGATAGGTAGGTGATGAGTAAAAGTGCAAATAATAAAGCCTATATTATTTGATGAGGATTAAATCTGCAAAGCGTTAAATTGGAAAAATATTTGGAGTTATGTCAATTAGAAGCATTTCCTAATATAATACATACAAATTGACAATAGATTATCTACGGAATCATTTCTTGAGTCTTTGCATCAAAGATTTTGAAAAATTCTGTTCGCTTCACAAGAATTGCTTTAGCTTAGTATAAAATTCTTGTCTCTATTTATCCCATTTTAAGCCTCTCCCCTTCCTTCCTTAGTATATTCAAAGACAGAACTTAACCTGACTAATATCTCTCTAGTCTATTTTCACCCTTAGAAGGCTTAAAACTCCTTAAAAATATCCTAAGAAGCCTCATTTAAATCATTTTCGGCCTATCTCTACTTTCTCTTCATCATTCCTCACAAACCAGTATCTTACTCTAATTGACATTTTTCTTTGAAAATATTTACCTAGTTAATTATAAACCTGGGGTTTTGGGGTTTTGGGGTTTTGGGG